AAAAAAACATAAAGAAACTGAGAAAAACAAGCTAATCCTTTGGAAACTGAACCAATTTGAGTACCAAAACAGTAGAAACGCACGAAGATCAGTGCCAAGTAAACAAAATAGCTATGAATGAAAAACGACAAGCAGGCCCACTCAAAAAAAAAGACAAAATTAAAATGCAAATTCAAAAAATTTTGAATTGATAACATGAGAGTTAAATAAATGAAGACAGATATTTTATAGAATAATGATGAACTTGAGAACTGTGATGATGCATATCGTTGGCAAAAACGCTTGATGGTTTCTCAGCTATAATTGAAGCCGAATTTTCCCGTGCTAATGAAGCAGATCGTGAGCGTACAGAATAGTTTTCTAAATTCTCTTCTCTCCCCCTTTTATTCGGCGGGGGATGCGATGTCTTATTGTAAGACGCCACTAGCCCCTCGTCGATCTTAGAATCTTGAGGCAACGTCGGAGTAGGAGAATCATGTGCCTCAGCGGCATCTATCGCTTCCTCTACATGACTGCCCTAAGAACAACCATTTCGCTGTTATTTCTACTATAAACTTTACGAGAGTATTCGTTATGCTATCAAACGTTTTAGTCCAACCAGTTAAAATTACTCACTACGCTCGCATGACTTTTATCGTCTATTACTGCATCGATCACTTCAATATCGCCAACTTCCTCTTTGGTGGCTTCTAGTTTTTCAAGCAATGAAGGACGATTGCCCTCCTTCACTAAGGCAAAAGCACCATCCCTCTAAAAAAAACTACTTTTATAATTTTAATAAAGTTATTTCTGCTTATGATATTCAGTAACAACGCTTAAATGGTTAACATGACATTTTATGAACATAAAGTCCGGAACTATTTTAACCTCAAAAACCTGAGTTTTTAATTCCTAAATCATATGCTTCTATGAAACCAACCCGTCCTCTAACCATGTCAACGAGCTTCCGAGAAAATGAGTCTCGTTTTGTTCTACGTACCTCCTCAGAACCATCAGCAGAATGAAACGACCCACTGCTGGGCACTAACCATGAAAAGATAAGTAAGAAGCTTAGTCTGGAACTCTCACAACTTAAAAAACATTTGGAAGCTTAAAAAAAGAAACAGATATAAACTTAAATAAACAAAGAATTTCCATTACTTCTCTGTAAAAAAAAAAAAATGATTTTTTCAACTTAAAAAGATGAGAAAACTGTAAATGAATTTTTCGAAAAATTTATGTTTAAGAAATTATGTCCTGAAAATAAAAACTGGTTATACTTACATAAAAATTAAAGAAGTAAATTAAATTTTTCAATATGATACATTAAAAAATTTGCGGCTATTTATCACCAGGTTCCTTCCATTCCAGTTAAATATCAATGACATTCAAACATTTAAAGTCCATTGAAAGGGATAAAAGTTATGTGAAGTCCCTTATAAACCTAGCAAAAATACTATTTTATGGAAAAAAATGCCAACCTATCGTGTTGGATGAATGCATGTTTTGCTTCTGCGCTGTTGGAGAAGTTGATCTAGTACCCGGAGGTGTTTCAACACCCAGATTAATGCTTGGACTATCATTCCATCTTGAATCATTCCACTCTAAAAAGAAAAAAAGTAAAAAAGATTAACAAATGCAAACTAGTCTTATGACAAGAAATCACCCTTATAAAGCACCCACTGTATTAGAAAATATGCGCCTAATCCAACTACATCAGTAACGTTACCAACTATCATAATACATAAACATGTCGACCATTTGCCTTTAGAAATACAATTCTACTTACGATAATTTGACGACGAGTGGCTGCTTGGGACTTTTGGAGGAAAATGATAAACATTTAAGTTGACTGCAGATGATTCTGAGTGATTAGGTGACGCTTTAGCCAGAACTAAAATTTAAAATATTATTCAGAATTTGTCAGAAGGTAACTGTCAGTAATCTCCTGAAATGCGGATAATGTATATAGCCAGTTGCTGCAAAGAATATGTTTTTTAGCGTTAATTCATACCTATGCTGCATCTAAAAGACAGAATTGACAAGAGATTCAATTCTGGACCTCTCCCAAATAGGTAAAATAATAAAGTTAATATTAATCAAATACTCTACGCAAAAAAATCCAATTTTTAGTCATTTAACAAAAAATAGGAGAAAGATAAAGTTCTTATCTAGGACTTTAAACTTCCTACATTCAACTACTCAGTGAATGTTCTTCTGAGCTTTATCAACTTCAATGAGTAATAAGAAGTCTGCGAAGGTACAAAGATTAAGCTTATCTTCCTATAGCAATGAAGACCACATTAGTATATCCTGGCAACAAAGTTTACAAAAATTTATCTTTTGCTTAAGTACTTTAGTGACCTAAGAAACTGTTTCAACTCCCACTGTAAAAATTAAACCAGTAAAAAAAGGACAACCAAATCCTAAAAAACAAAAAAACTAAATGAATTTTTTTTTTTTTTTTTGAGGCTAACTATTGGGACTTCTGAGATTCACAAGATATTCACCAATAAAACCAACAAGCTGCAAACTTCACATGGTAAAAAACAGAAAAAAAAAAATAAAAAACTGCTCAAGCGTAATCGAGAGAATAAAATAAATTAAGAATAAGAAACTAAATACAAAAAAAATTTCATCCGTAACTGAGAAAGTAAATTAGCTGATCTAAAAAATTGAAAAAAAATTTGAAGAATTTATAAGGCTCACAATAACTGTTAAATGACTAAATACACGCTAACTAAATAAATAAATACAATTTGGTAGAAAACGTTACCATTTACTGAACCCTCAATTACCGGCCGTACCATCATATGCCTACAATCAGCAGAAAAATCATGTGCTTCGCGCTGAGACCATCTACTCCGATTGAGTTCCTAAAGACAAAAAGTAAATGACAATGAACACAGAAAATAATGGTAAAAATAAATAGAACGATTTCCTCCCTGAAGCACTTTACATTGTTGATAATCTGAAGCAAAAAAACAGCTCCCAAGTAAAAAGAAACGAAATCAAAAAACGAGACCCTAACCTGGTCTGTTGTGCCTTTAGCCAGGAGTGGATGAAATCTCACAACGCCATAAACAGGTTCTAAAATAGAGAGTGCGTGCTCGTCATGGTGTTTTGTATAACAATCCCTAAACTTTCCTATGCTTTTTTGATGACAGTGACAGGACAATTAAAAAAATAATAAAATGAACTCACCTTAGGTATTCCAAAAGGTTATTAGGATAAATACCGTATAAAACAACGAAATATTGAATAATAACGCAGTACAAGTGAGAGACATGAACGGGGCCTAAGTAATCATTATCCAAACCCTTCTCCAACAACTTTTTTTTGTTGTAAAGTAATGCGCACGCTGCAAGTAATATTCGAAACAAATCTTGCAGTAAAGGCCGCTTAAGGGTGGAGCAATGCGGTATCAAAGACGAGATGAAAAGGATCCCACCGACCATGATTACAGTGTCGCTCGTTGTCTTAAAGTATAATCACAGATAAAAAAACCTTGTTTTTAAGAAGATTGTCAAGAAACGTCGCAACAGAAAAAAAGAATCACATTGAGTAATTTTAGGAGATGCGCAAAAAGTGAATGTTCACACAATTTTGTCAGCCAGCTTGGAGCCTTCTGAACTATTTGTCCAAGAAGAATGATAGTCGCTAACGGATTTTTTCCAAAACATTCTTGCATTCGGTTACATAACTCCTGAAATCAAATAAAACAAGCGTAAATGACAGTAGAATACTACAGTAGAACTGTAAAGAAACTCAATAGAAGGATTCTAATTTTATTCTTAAAAAATTCTCAAAAAACTGTTAAATTCGATGTATATAACACTAAAAAGTTCAGCAGAAATGGCTAACTGAATCGTGAGGCTCCTTTATCCGACACAATAAATCTAAAGCCCGAAAAGATTGTGTATGAGAATAGTATTGCACCAGATGACCAATAGCTTCACCTGAAATCGAAAAATTACACTTGCTCCCGCACCTTAAATAAAGGGAACGACTTTGTTAAAAGTACATTTTTTATACCTAAATATTACAATTATTCATAAAAATCACGTAATTAATTCACGAAGTAATAAAAAGTAAAACAAACAGATATTTTTATTAAGACTAAAAATGTATGCTTTTCTACTTCTGACCTGAACACTTATTGATAATGATGACTAAAAATCATTTCATCAAACTAATCATAACAGTCCAACAGGAACCCTTATTTATAATTTTCTAAGCACCAAGAATCACTAAACAATAGAAGAGTAAACAATGAAATAATTAGACCTTGATCAATTAAACTCCTCAGAGCTTCCCTAGAATCTTCAGAAACCTTTGAATTAAGGGATTCGGAGTAACGGATCAATTTAATAATCTCCGAACGTGTCCTGGCACTCATACTGGTTGTTACCTGAAAATCTAAAACGCAGTAAAATCCAAATAGTAAAGGCGTAAAAACTGCATTAAAAGGATCAGAACTCCTGACCGCAATCGCTAGCAGAAATCAGCAACTACGGTAATTATTTAATTGATATAACTAAATGTATATAAGAGAAACAGCTGCAAACTATATAAAATTTTAGAAACAGAAAACTTTGTAAAAAAGAATTTTTTCTATAATCTGCCACCAGAGCACTTCGTTTTAGTAAAATTTCTAAATTTAAACAACAAGGTTAATCCTTCCTCAGTTCCAGCTATGTAACAACAGAAAAGCATATAACACTTACTTTCCTAACAGTCCTCAATAATCTTCACACCGGTGTTGGACAAAAAAAAAAAAGTATCTGCTTCAAGAACAATTACATACTAACACTTCGATACTATTGTAGTATGATCCAAAACTGCAGAAACTAATTGCGAAATTATCGCAAATAAAAAAAAAAAGAAATTCGATTAAGCGTATAAAGCGCACAGATATAATGATCAATTTTTTTCTGAACTATGATCATTGTTTCCAATTTCTGCAACGAGAATTTTTTTTTGTTGTTGGCAAGCTTCCACCACGACGATAAAACAGATTCAGGAATCAGATGTTCCGATAATTTCCAACCTCCTAGGCCTGCTTAGCCTTAGCTATATCGTTAAGTCTTCAGTAAATCGATATGACCGTTGAGCTTACGTCTGAGGGTTATATGAATAAGCTATTGAGGATTTTGTTTGAAAAGCTGATTATTATATGCAAGTGCTGCTGAAACCTCTTCATAAATTCCGGTGTCGAAATACCGGACCTTGAAAATATGCGAAAATAGGGTCCCGGCTGTATATTCACTTCGTTTTAATTTCTCTGTGCCATATCTTAATTCTCCTTTGCAGTTCGAAAAATATACATGGATTAAGCAATTTTAAACCAGTCAAAAAAACAAGCTACAACTAGCAGAGCATGGCTTTAATTCTCAGAGATTCTTACTTATAACTTCACCTGACCCATGGCATTATTCTGCAACTTTATAAAATATCAGCCATGTAGCTTTGTTTTAGAATAATCCATCCCAGCCCGATAAAGTATTAAAACTGATTCGTTGTCCATTTACGATGAACTTGTTATTGCTGAAACTGCAATAACGAAGCAGACGCATTCAACAGACCAAAGGAAGAAATTTTGGAATGAAGAGAAGAAACAAACAAACACTAAGGATCGCCATCAATCAAGACTAGATCTATGTCACTGGAAGAGCAAAACCAACTGGTGTCTAGTCGCCAAGAACTCAACTTACTCCTACCATGGCACCTAACTGTATGCTACTGTATGCTACCTAAACTTCTCGTCTAACAAAAAAGTACAAAAAAACGTTACATTTATTCATTTGTCTAAAAATTTATCAGTCATTTAATTATGTTGATCGATATATTGATGCAAACAATTCCACATTTTCTCCTATTCTGTGTTTAGTAGCCAAAGAGTTTAAAACCGAGAGTTCCAAATATTTACATTGAGAGAGGCGAATTGGACTCAAAAATGTCTGCAAATGATCATGGACTAAAACGAAAAAGCCGCCGTTTGAAAGTGAACAAAAATTATTTCGTCCTTTAAGGCAACAGATTGTTAGAAGTCAGTTTTAACAAAACGTAGAAACTTCATAAAGAAACTTTACATTAAGGTTTGTCACAAAACGAGACTCAACCTGCGCGACCAGTTCAAGAATCAATGACTAGCCCCATTTGAATATCTGATTCCCAACTTTGGCCAGAAAACAGGTATTCAGTCGAAGCTTGAAAAATAATGAACTGGTATTAAGAACACAATAACTGACTCCAAATAGTGAAGATATACGGCCCTTTGTGTGGTAAAAAAAAGATACAAAAAGAAATCACAGCGGAAAAAAAAATCTGTGAAAGTGTTCTAATTAAAAAATGGCATAAAAATTAACATCAGAACATTTTGACTCCGCTATGCAGGTGCGCTCCACCAACTCACCTAAGGATTTATTGACCATTCTTGGAAAAATCCGTCCAGCTCTGACTCATCCTTTTAGCCTCCTGAAATTGCCTCACTACAGCTTTTTAGTGATCCTGAATCGATGGAACATCTAAAAAGAATTCACTTAAAACAAGAAAAAAAAATAATCAAAGCTGTCAAAATCAAGAGGTTAAAACTGCTTTGTATGAGAACTCCGGATAAAATGACAGCCTTACTATCTGTTAAAGCATTTTAAACTCGTTGACAGTATAAATGTACATGCTGTTTCGTTTTTGCGCTTATTTTTTCTCATCTATTTGTTTACTTAGCAAAATATATAAAAAAAATTTTTTTATAATCAAAAGTGGTTATAACCAGCTGTCAACGGAAGTACATTTTCCTACAACATTCAATTATCTTTCTACACCTGCTTATAAGTTCACATTCCACATAAAAAAGTTTTATTTTAAAAAAGTTCCATAACGCTGTAATTAATCATCAGTAATATCGAAGAAAATTTCCTAAACATTTTTTAGCTTAAACATATTGATTAGTAAATATACCAAAAACTGTTTAATGGTGTTTTAAAGAAAATTTTCCATCAAAAACCGTCTTACCAGTTGCTAGCCGCCGACCAGGCTGCATCCAAAAGTCAGATCGTATTGCTCAAGTTTGGCGTTCTACAGCCTTGGGTATTAGTAACCCATAAGTAATCTGGCTGAATATACGTCAAATCATACAATTTTTTTCCTCACTGAAATTTCAAAGTTCACTAAAATTAGCCTAATTATTAAAGATTCAGCAGATTTAAAAATGAAAAAGTGTTCATGCAAACGAGGGTTAGTTGGAAAAATAGGTCGCATCAAAGTATTAAAATAAAGAATATTCTTGTTCGTTCTGTTCAGTAGTTTCTCGTATACTACAACTCTGTCAGACCAAAATGTAACGTCTTTTGATAAAAGAGATAGGAAATGGCTTTTGATGAAAGAATTGATGTGAACATCACAAATAGATAAATCAAACGCAACAACTCAAACAGACGACAAAAAAAACACACTTTTTAAAATTATACCATTTTTTAATAGTAATTATACCATTACTATAAAAATGATGTGAAAAATTTTAATCTGGCACTTTCAATAAGCACAGAAGCAAGAAACTTAAAATTGATTGAAACGACAAAAGTATTCAGCAGATGTTTGCAAAAATTTTTACCCATAATTTGCATAAGCATTCGTTTGCTTGATGACGTTTCAAAAACTGTTTATCACCTTCTAAAGGTCAAATTATGCTGTAATTTTTATGCTGAAAATGGTAACGTTTTGCAGTCATGTTTTGATTCCGCTCCTAAGTCAGCTTTTCTTTTTCTCGCTTATGTAAATTATAGATAAAAAGTAAAGTAAATAGGTGTTTTTCCATGTGTATTTTGCTCTATCCCAGTAACATATAGTCACCTCTAAAATAAAGGTGAGAAAAACTAGTTTCCATTACTCTGACAACAGATCATTAAACAACTGCCACCTTTATCAGCCGTCAAGTGACGAAACATAAATGAAAATCCGACAAAAGAATTTTAAGAACTGATTCCAAACAATGTTAGATCAGTTTATTTTATAAATCAATAAATGCTGTATACAAATGAGCAAGTAAAACAGATGTTATTACATGTGCATTATCAAATTGACGAAAATGATCGAGAAGCTTAAGTATGAGATAAAAAATTTGCAAACCAAAAAAAATTTTGAACCCCTTAGAAACCTAAGACAACAGCCACAGTACACTGCGACACTCAAGAATTCCTGCTGTTCTTGATAACTGTCGTCAGTGAGAAATACATTAAAAAAAAGAATGCCATTCAAAATCAAAAACTTAGAGAGTACAGATTTACTATAGGATTATCTGAAACAACGTTACAAGCTCATATAGAACTGAGATACAAAAAAAAGAAGACCAATTCTCCAGTGAAAAGAAGAGGCAGAACTAGAAAACACCAAAAATCTCTATCTTTTCAACATTTCTTGCCATTTTAAACGAATATGCGCTAAAACTGACTAGAACAAAAATGAAGTTAGATGAAGTTATTCATTAGGTGTTCAAATACCTCTATCCTCAACTGTCCCGCTTCTCTTAAAAAAGCAATATCCAGTTTTCTCCAAAGTTAAGCAATAAAAGATGATTTCTCACACTTCTATCTTCACTTAGTCTAAGCAAAGTTAATTTACAAATAATCTTCTCAACTTGATCCTTATTAGGTAGAACTATGTACTCCTGACTATATGACTTAAATCCAACAAATTCAATAAATTTATCTTAATTCACTTGCAGCAAAGTTGCATGAACTACTGTTTCCAACAAACTTTTAAAGTTTTGACTTACAAGTTTTCATGGCGACCATATTGAAAAGAGGAATAAAATGAGGCTTATTTTTCGAGTTACGAATAAAAAGTATAAAAATTCGTACTTGTATAAAAACCAGAAAAAAAATATTTTCTTGTTCCACAAAAAGTCGACTTAAACGTAATTGGATGAATATGTAAAGCATCATGAGAAACTAGTGAAAAAACATGAAACAAAAGATATGATCTTTGTCTAAATACTTTTAACTGTTTCCAACACCTTTTGTCCAGATATATTACAATTTCTAAATAAAAATAACCATTAACGAGACCATGAAAATCAGTTAACTTGTAATTCGGTATAAAAACCTCAAATAACAAAGAAAGAATTAAACTTCTTATGCAGCGGTATGCAAAAATTATTCTACTCTACAGCACCAGAATTCCAGATATCTATCAAGACAGCGATTCACTGTTACGAAATAAATATCATTACGGCAAGATTACAGGAAATACCTCAAATTTGGGAAAAGAAATTAGGCATGTTAAGATGTGTCTTTTTCAAGAAAATCGTTGACTGAACTTTGTAACAGTAATTATATAGTATGGGACCAAGTCACCAGTACGTTATGCAGTCCTTTTCATCACTCTTCATCACCGTTACAT